TCCACAGGAAACCCATAGAGATGAAAAGGAAACTGGGACTCAAATCAATGGAGTGGACCAGAAGAAAGCAAATAATGGCCAAACAGAAAAGAGTCAAGGAGCAAGAATTCAAAGAAATGAGGAGAGTCTTAGGAACCTCCAGGACATCTTTAAACGCTCCAATATCCGAATTATAGGGGTACCAGAAGGGGGAAAGACACAACCACCAGTGGAAAAATTATTTGAACAAATAATAAAAGAAAATTTCCCCAATCTGGCAAAGGCAATAGACTTCCAGGAAATCCAAGAAGCTCAGAGAGTACCAAAAAAGTTGGACCCAAGAAGAAACACACCAAGGCATATCATAATTACATTAGCCAAAATTAAAATGAAGGAGAGAATCCTAGAAGCAGCAAGAGCTAAGGGGACAATCACCTACAAAGGAGTCCCCATCAGACTGTCAGCAGATTTCTCAAAAGAGACCTTACAGGCAAGAAGGGGCTGGAAAGAAATATTCCAAGTCATGAAATCCAAAGACCTACAACCAAGATTGCTCTATCCAGCAAAACTTTCATTTAGAATGGAAGGACAGATAAGGTGCTTCTCAGATAAGATCAAATTCAAGGAGTTCATCATCACCAAGCCCTTATTATATGAAATGTTAAAGGGACTTATCTAAGAAAAAGAAGTTAAAGAAACATGAACAGTGAAAGAACAACAAGCTCACAGTTATTAACAACCACACCTAAAACGAAAGCAAACTAAAAGAACAGCTAGCTCAGGAGTGGAAACATAGAAATGAAGATCTCAAGGAGGGTTAGCAACAGGGGAGTGGGAGGAGGAGATGGGGGGAGAAGGTACAGAAAATAAGTAGCATAGACAGTAGATAGAAAATAGATGGGGGGGCAAGAATAGCATGGGAAATATAGAACCTAAAGGACTTGAGACACATGGACATAAACTAAAGGGGGGTAATGGTGGGGATGGGGGGCAGGGTGGAGGGGAATGAAGGGGGGAATAGAACAACTGTAACAGCATAATCAATTAAAAAAATAAATTTAATTAAAAAAAAAGAAATTACAACTGAGACCACAGAAATACAAAGGATTGGAAAAAATTACTACAAACAACTATATGCCAAGAAATTTGAAAACTTGGGAGAAATGAACAAAATTCTAGAAAAATATAATCTTCCAAAACTGAATAAAGAAGAATCAGAAAGCCTGAATAGTCCCATAACAATTACAGAAAGTAAAGCAATAGTCAAAAACTCCCAGCACATAAAAGCTATGGATGGGACATATTCATGGGTGAATATTACCAAACATTTAGGGAACAGCCATCTCCTATCCCTCTCAAACTATTCCAAAAAATTCAGGAAGAGGGAAGACTCCCAAACTCTTTTTTTTTTTATTTAGTTATTTTTCAAGTACATTTTTTGTCTATTTCTCCCAAACTCTTTTGAAGGCAGCATTCTCCTAGTTCCCAAACCAGACACAACAAAGAAAGAAAACTAAAGGCCAATATCCATGATGAACATAGACGCTAAAATCCTCAAGAAAATATTGGCAAACCAGATCCAGTATACCTTATAAAGATCATGCACCACAATCAGGTGGGGTTCAGCCCAGGGATGCAAGATGGTACAATATTCTGAAATTAATAAATGTAACACACCACTTAAGTGAAATGAAAGAAAAAAAATCACATGATCATATCAATAAATGTTGAAAAAGTATTTGATAACATACAACACCATTTCTGGTAAAAAAAAAAAAAAAGGGTTATTTAGCAAAGTGAGAATAGAGGGAGCATACCTCAAGAAAATAAAGGCCGTATGGAAAAAATCTGTGGCCCACAACATACTCAACAGGCAAACACTAAAAGCTTTTCCTATAATATCAGGACAAACACAGAATGTCTGCTTTCACAACTTTTATACAACATAGTACTGGAAGTTCTAGCCATAGCAATCAGATAAAAAAAAGAAATAAAGGGCATCCAAAGTGGAAAGGAAGTAAAACTGTCATTATCTGCAGATGACATGATAGCCATTTCTATACATTTTCTATGTATAGAAAATGCTATAAGCTTCACTAAAAACTACTTGATCTAATAAGTGAATTTGGCAAAATCATGGGATATGAATTTAATATTCAGAAATCAAAGGCATTTTAGTATACCAAGAATAAGATATCAGAAAGAGAAACTAGGGGAAAAATCCAATTTACTACAACAAGGGAAAAAAGTAACTAGAAATAAATTCAACAAAGGAAGTAAAAGACCTATACTCAAAAAACTACACAACCCTGAAGGAAGAAATTAAGGAAGACACAAATAAATAGAAGCATATAATGTGTTCATGGACTGGAAGAATGAACATCATCAAAATGTCCATACTACCCAAAGCAACTCATAGACTCAAAAGTCCCTACTAAAATACCAATGAAATATTTCACAGATATGAAATCTCTACTAAAATACCAATGAAATATTTCACAGATATAAAACAAACATTTCAAAAATTTATGTGGAACTGTCAATGACCTTGAATACCAACAGCAATTTTGAGAAAGAAGAACAAACTAGGAGGGATAACCATACCTGATAACAAACTATATTGCAAGGCCACTGTAATCAAAACAGTCTGGTACTGGCATAAGAACAGACGCGTAGACCAATGGAATAGAGAGCCCAGAAATAAACCCAAGTTTCTATAGTCAATTGGTATTCAAACAAAGTGGGCAGCAGCATAAAATGAAATAAAAATAGCCTCTTCAAAAATGGTGTTAGGAGATCTCGACAGCTACATGAAAAAAAATTAAACTCGAACACCAACTTACATGATAAACAAAAATAAACTCGAAATGGATAAAAGACTTAAATATCAGCCATGATACCATAAAAGTACTAGAGGAGAATATAGGCATGAGAATCTCAGATATTCCACGCAGTAACATTTCCACAAAAAGTCCCATGGAGAAGGGGAAATAAAGAAAAGAACAAACAAAAGGGATCTCATCAAAACAAAAAGCTTCCGCATAGCTAAAGAAAACAGCATTAAAATGAAAAAGAGAACCAACCATATGAGAAAACATATTTGCCCACAATATGTTAAACAAGAATTTGATATCCAAAATGTATAAAGAACTCACATGACTCCAAACCAAGAAGACAAACAACCCAATCAAAAAAATGGGCCAAAGACCTGAACAGACACTTCTCCGAGGAGGACACAGAGAGGGCCCAGACACATATGAAAAGATGCTCACCATCACTAGCCATCAAAGAGATGTAAATTAAAACCACAATGAGATACCACTTTACACCAATAAGAATGGACATCATAATAAATCAACAAAGTGTTGGATATGGAGAAAAGGGAGCCCTAGTGCACTGTTTTGGTGGGAATGCAGACTGGTGCAGTCACTGTGGAAAACACTATGGAATTTCCTCAGAAAACTAAAAATGGAACTGCCTTTTGACCCAGCAATTCCACTGCTGGGATTATATCCTAAGAACTCTGAAACACCAATCCATAAAAAACTATGTACTCCAATGTTCATAGCAGCACAATTTACAATAGCCAAGGGCTGGAAGCAACCTAAGTGCCCATTAGTAAACAAGTGGATCAAAAAATTCTATTTACACAGCAGAATACTATGTAGCAGAAAGAGTAAGAGCTCCTACCCTTCACAACCACATGCATAGATCTGGAGAACATAATGCTAAAGTGAAATAAACCAGGTGGTGGAAGACAAATACCATATGATCTCACCTATAAGTGGAACCTATTCAATACAACAAACAAGCAAGCAAAATATAACCAGAGACTTGGAAATAAAGGACAAACTGACATTAACCAGAGGGGAGGGAGAAGGGGGAGGGTAACCGGGGAAAAGTCATCAAGGAACAGGTATAAAAGACCCATGGAGAAAGCCAAAAGGTGGGAAGGATTAAGGGTGAGAGGTGAGGGTTTGGTGGGGCAGGAGAAAGTGTTGGCAGGAAAATGTAGAGTACTGTACTTGAACAACAATTTAAAAAAAGTGAAAATTAAAAAATAAAATGCCAAAGGCGAAAGACAAACAGAAAATCATAAAAGCAGCAGATGGGCAGTTAGTTATATATAAGGGAACTACCATAAGACTGTCAGCTGATATCTCAATAGAAAGGTTGCAGGCTAGAAGGGACTGGCAAGAAATATTCAAAGTGATAATAATGAAGCACCTATAACCAAGATTACTCTAACAAGCAACACTATCATTTAGTATCAAAAGGCAGATAAAGAGCTTCCTAGCCAGAAAAAGAAAACTAAAGGAGTTCAACACCACAAAGAAGTTTTATATAAAATGTTAAAGGGTCTTCTTTAAGGAGATAAAAAATATGAACAGTAAAATGACAGTAAATACATATCCATCAACAACTGAATCTAAAAAGCAAAATTAACAAGGAAGCAGAAGAGAAACACAATCACAGATACAGAGAACATCTGATGATTGCCAGATGGCAGGGGTGTTAGGGTGGCAGTGAAAGAGGTGAGGGGAATAAAAAGTACAAACTGGTAGTTACAGAATAGTCATGGGGATGTAAATTACGGCATAGGGAACAGAGTAGCCAATGAACATATTTGTAGGATCCATGGACATGGACAACAGTGTGGGGTTTGTTTGTCTGACGGAGTTTGGGGGGACTGGGTGGAGGGGGATAAAGGGAGAAAATTGGTAACAGCATAAACAATAAAATATAATAAAAGATATTTGTAACATTAAGATTAGATTATCATTATTCTCAGCTCTAGAACGATGAGATTTTTAAAATCATGAATTGTTTTCAGTGTAGTATAACCACATTAGATGTGTTGCTGCTCTAAAAAAAACAGTTCATCACTTTAAATATCTCAATAAATTACTGAGGCCAGAAACTTGAGATAAATAATATTTTATAAATATTTTTCTTTCACAATTACCAGCAGTCCTCAAGGATAAACGAGAGAAAAGCCTGCCCATTGCCAATAGCTTCACCTTTTTGCCAAGATTCATGTTCTCCATCTTTGCCTTCAGCAGCTTCATTTTATTCATAGTTATTGAATTTTCAATTATCTGTTGCCCAGAGGGAGAAGGCTCAATTTCTTCATCCTCATCAGTATACAAATTATACACAGAACCACCACTGCAAAAAAAAAAAAAAAAAAAAAAAAGACAATTACTGTTATGTGCCTGATACCAGCCCAATGACTAAAAATACTCCACGTGCAATAGAAACTATAGATGCTGCTAGTGATAAAACAATAAATCCATTTCGTTAATGTAAATTCAAGGCAAATGTATATTTTAAATATATTTTAGGAGAAAAAATGGGAATATCATAATCTAGCCCTACTGAAAATTCTAGTACAGTTGAGCTTTTCTGATGTCAGTACACTATAAATAAAGATCTTTTGGCTATATCATTCCCACAGAAGCAAAATACATTTCTATAAAAATGATCTTATTTCATTTTATCAGCCAAGGAAAACTAGACTACAAGCTGATCAAATTAACCAAAATGAAAAAGAAACTGACACTGATGTCATGATTTTTATTTATCCTGCGAGGATTCTCACAAAAAGGAGGGAGGACTCATACACAGGTGTCACCAGAACATTTTCTGTTCTTTAGAAAAACAATTAAAAAATACAGATAACATAAGATTTTTCTCAGTGTGTTTAGAGATGTAACTACCTAGAATAACATAGATTTTTAATAAAAAAAAAACACCCCAGGCAATTCATGACACAATTAGACATGTTAAACATTTTAACTGTTGACCAATCACACTATTTGTTCATATCTTAATTATTATTTGGGGCCCCTTGTCTTTGACTGCATAATGCAATGGCACTTATCACACTACCTACATATTTATACTTATATGTCTATCTTTCCCTCTTACTACACCATATGTATAAGTTGAAAGCAGTTATTAGACTTTTTCCTCTTACTAGTCTTAGTACCTGGCACAATGCTTGGAACATATCCAAAAGTTTGCTGAACTGAACACAAATGTAACTGAAATTCAAATTTTTTAATAATGAGAAAAGTAAAAAAGTAAGGGTATGAAAAAACAAAAATATTTGAAGAATGTCTAAAATTTTAAATAGAGCAGAAAAAGAATGTGTGTTAGTGATTGCAGAAAGTTTACTTATAATAAAACTAATGTATCTATGTTAAAGAATATGAGGGTTAATAAGATTTCCTGTTCTATGTGGCTGTAAGAATGGAAAGAAATTTAGGATAGCCTTAATAAGGTATATTCCGCAACATTTCTGAAGCATGTACCTCCACCATACAAAGGCTAGAGGGTGAATAACCCCACTTCTAAACTTTATACAGTAAAATACATGACATTTTGAAATTTAGGGTTGTTTACATGCAGCATTCATGACTATTAGAAGGAAGATGGCAGAATTTGATCCAATAACCGATTTAGTCTCTAGTGTATCTTGTGACCAATACTTCTACCTATTAGATGCCTACAACAGTATGAAAACTGACGCAATGGGCAAAACACTAAATTAACATTGTTAGTGTTCCCTAAATGCCTACTCTATCAGGTATTTTCCACATATTCCTAATATTCACAGAAACTATATAATGCTTTATATCTCATTTTATAAATAAAACTGCAGTTAAGAGAGGCTACATAATTTTGTTCAAGTCCAGAGAACTAATAAATGGTGGACCTGTGATTCAAATTCCCCATCTGTCTAGTCCCAAAGTCTATTATGCTTATGTATCACCCATAAAAAAATGAAATTTACAGTATGTGAAGGCTCTTGTCTTAAGGTTAACTATACCTGAAATGGGGTTGATTAATGATTTTTGGCAGCTCACCATTGGAATAGGAAGAAAAGGCTCCAGTATAATCTATTTTGATTACCTTATAATATTTTAACTTTAGGTACTACTTTATTATATTCTGTGCTTTTAATATTAACTGTCCATAATGAATTAAAGAGGTTTTTGACACATTCCTGAAAAAAGTAAAAATTAAAAAGAAATAATACTTGGTCATTTACTGTTTTCCTGTGTGTGTGTAAAAAGTACATCTAGACAAATATTTCATTGGGCATATTTTAGGGGGGGTTAAAAATACTTTTAAATACACCTGATTTTTTAAACATATTATTGTTTTCTCTTTCATAAAGCAAAGTCATGAGATCAGTTACAAGCCAATCATAATTCTTTTCTAGTTGAAATATATAACTACTGATTCTGAAGATGGCAGTGAGGTAGGTGGGAGCAGAGCCCACTTGCCCCTGTAACCAACTGGAATACCTTGCTGATCTTCTGAGGAACACAGTGAACAGCCAGTGGAATTCCACCATATATAAAGTTTGGAGGTCAAAACTGTAGAGGACGTTGAAAAACAGATGGTATGGAGATCCCGTTGGGACAGTAAGGTCCCTGGGATCAGCACAGGGACCAAGGCTGCTGAGGTCCTGCTGGCCTGGGGTGGTTGCTGGCTGCCACAGGAACTTTGAAGGACAGCCAGCTCTGTGATAGTAACTCAGGGGCTCCCTCCCTTACCAGAGCAGGGAAAGCAGCCCCACACCGGGAGACACCTGGATGCTTGAAGTTGCTGGGGGAATAAATGGGACTGTGGTCACTGGCTAGGACAGTACCAGAGAAATTGGGAAGCTGGGTGACACCTGGAAAGGGAGAAGAGTTGAGCTGTGTGGGACCCTGACCTGGATAGTGTCTGGACTAGTCAGAGAGTTGGGCTCTGTGAAAAGCTAGGCACTTGTTAATAAAGGCCGGTGCAAACAGTAGGAATTTACTCAAAAAAGGTTCCCAGGTACTGTTTAAGGAATCTCTCACTCTGGCACAGATGGACAGTGAGGGCCAGGCAGTACATGGAAGACCTGGGCTAGAGGCTGGACAACTGTGAATACTGCAGCCCTAACCTGGTCCCTGTCCTCCCAAAATCATGGAAAGGGAGAAAAGCCAAGTCCGGCCCCACTCTGCATGCAGCATCCCGGAAGACTAGCAGAACTCAACTGGTAGGTTTAAAGTAAGAAGGAGGCTTCCCCACCCCCACCCAAGTGTGAAACAATAAGACCTGCAGCTGTGAAAAGACCAGAGACAGATCCAGAGAGGGATCACCACACTAACACCAACAACTGAGAAACTGAGGCAAATTTCACTTTGCCATCCTATAGAACTTGCATTTTATTGTTTATTTTTCTTATTTTGTATTTATATTTATTTTATTTATTACTTTTTATTTCTCCCCTTTCTGTTCAATTTTCTTCATTTTGTTGAACTTCATTGTTTCACTAATTTTCCTTGCTCTGTCTTTCATACTGCATTTTATTTTTCTTCTTTCACTTCAGTCATATTCCAATACAACAGTACTATTGGTCTTTTGACTTTCTATGCTTTTTATTCAGATCACATCTTGTCATATTGTTTGCCAGTATTATTGTAAATAATTATTGTTCCGTGTTATTGTAAATACTGTAACAGGGTGCAGCCAAATATGGGCCCCAAATAGGGATTTGAAATGGAGTCCAGGAAATATTAGAAAAATATATATATAGGATGTCCTCACCCCTACAAGTCTGAGCTGGGGGTTGGGACACATGGAGGAGGGCCATTGAGAGCTGTTTTGTATAGCAAAGCTTTGCAGCTAACCTCTAGCATGGTCATTTGACATATCTATAACCTTTAACTGGTTTCATGGATATGTTAAATAGCTGTGGCTATGCTTTGAGCCAGGGGGATGGATGTGACTTCCACCCATGATGTAACTGGGAGGCAACTCCCCCTGATTACAGCGCCTATATGAGAGCTCAGAGATGATTGGCTCCACACATGGGGCTATGCCTGCCTGGACTTACTACAACAGCCCAGGAAAGCTGGACAAATATGAGAATGATGATAGGTATAACTGACTGTGAGAGGAATCAGAAATTGGACTGCAGAGAAGATTGGCACTGGGATTTAAACCCAGACACAGCAGCTATGCCTAGTTGGGACCATGTGGCTTTGGCAAGAATCAGGACCATGTAGCTTTGGGGTGCTTCTTTTTGCCATGTGGCTTAGGAAACAGGAGAGACTGCCTGGAAAAAAAGGGGTGAAAGGGCTCTCACTGATGGGCCATGAAGGGGTGCCACATGGTTTTGGATTAACTGGAGATCATGGCAGTGACATAGCTGATGGTGCCAGGAGCCTGAATCATGAAATTCTACTTTTCCTGAGATACAGTACTCTGGACTGGGCAGAGGGAGAAGAAAGGACTGTGTGCATCTGTGGGTATTCTAAAGGACTTTACTATTTTAATGAAAACATTAAGTCACTACTGTAAGTCTGTATAGCTTTTAAATAAATAATTCCTTGCCTTTTCACAAATCTCTGGCATTGAGACATCTCTCCCTGGCAGCAGGCAAGGAGAACCCAGTAGGTGAGGGGGGACCCCTGGAGAAAAAGGGGGGTCCTTGCAGTAATAGTACATCATTCACCCCCCAACCCTCATCTGTTCTGTAATGATACTACACAGTACCCCTAGCTGGTCTTGGCATATTTCACTATCTTCCTGAGCTTTATTGCTGTTATGGTTAACTATGCTGTCTCACACATTACAACTACTTTTATCCTTTACTCTCACTATAACTCACCATCTAACTTTACATAGCACTGTTTTCAGCTCACAATCCTTCCCCCTGTAATAAACGTCTTATCTCTCTTCACCTTTTCTACAAAGTGGCTGGTTGGCTGAAATACCAGTTAATGCTATACTTCCCCAAATGATTTCCTATCTGTTTTCTAATGTTGGTACTTCAAATCCATAGAATACGCTCCAGTTACCTTAATCCACTTTGCCTTTGCCCTGCCACTAATCACATACAATATTAGGTGGGAGTTGTGAACACTAGTAAACCTGCTAGAGGAGAGAATCCACCAACAAAGGAACATCAACAGGTAAAACCCAAGTACAACAAGAGAACACACACAAAAGGAAGATAGGGCAACCCTAGAATACCCAGACAAGGAGATCAAAGAGATCACATTAATGAATCCCATAGAACTATTAACATAGAAGTTCACGCTACAAAGACAGCTAGCAAAGCAGAACATCAGGAAGCAGAGAAACAAACAAAAAGACTCATCAAAAATGAGGACAGAAAT